CGAGCTGGCATCCCGGTTCCACCGCGGAAAGGGGCCACTTCATCGTGTTTGACCTCTCACCCACTCAACTTACCGTTCTTTTGGTTCCGACCCGTCTTGGGTTCGCTTTCCTGCCCTATTATATCTTGATGATTAGCAGATCAAAATGAGCTCCACCGTTTATCCTTCATGACTAAAGGAAATGTGCACAAACCTACAGATTTTCTGCTTTATATGTATAAAGATGAGAGAAAAGAGAACTGAATCATGACATAAACGCTTATTCTCTATCTCATGTGATGACCAATAAAAAAGCCTTCTTTACAACTATTTTCTTACTTTTTTCTATTCAAATGAAAGTCGAACACAAATGATTATAATGCAAGGTCTATGAACCCGAGCCGATGTCGCCATCAGAGCCGGCTGCGCCGAATGGTCCTACAAATCCCTCAAACGCAAATTCCATACGTAAGAAAACTTGATGGTTTTTCTATTTTTTTCTACCCTCACATGCGAATCCTGAATAATTTCAGCTTGCGAGGACAAGGTGAATCCAAGAACAGGCATATCAGATTGCCCATTGCGTCAGTATCTTTGTAACGATCCAAGATATTATGCGCTAATGACTGATCAATGTCCAAAGACATGCAATAGATGTGAAGAATTCTTGAAAAATTATCAATCACAACCACAGCCGCAGCCGCAGGCACCATCTTCAAGTTCGTATAACTTTGAACTTGAGTTCGCAAAAACTAATATGATACTTCTTCTTTACAGGTTCGGATACAGAATGCAAGGATTTAGTTCACCCTCGAACTGGAATATCGGATTGTCCGCATAGAGCCCACCTATGTTTCGACCCTAATTACCGAAGTTTCATGCAAATTCAGTGCCCAAAAACCTGCGGCTACTGTTGATATTATCAGTGTAACATAATGAAATGTACGAATAAATTACTTCCATTATGTTAGTTCAAATCTCCTCGCGTTCATATCAGCGGTGTATAAACTCAGTTGCTTTCGGCCTGGAAGCAACTTCGAAGCAAGTTTGTATGCAATGAAAGAAAAACATAATATCTCTGCACTTTCGAAAACACACATTTTTCTGAAAAGAAAATGAGTGAAATTGACGAACAAGTTTCAATCATCTAGGAACGAACTGCACCATAAAACGGCGTAAACATCAAAAAATACATTGAAAGAGAACCCTGATCTTTACTGTTCATAATTCTCGGAATGCTACAGGAGCTAAATGTGAAGGAGAAATATTTGCTCTTCCCATGCGGCAGACCTGCGCATCCGAATAACTTACAGATTTTTATGAAAGAACCCCGGTACCTTGAGTGCAATATAATGTGCAGAATGGACTAGCTTGAAATCTCAATGCGCAGCACCTTATCTAATATATAAAGAATCGTTAGCTCAATCCAAAAATC